ATCATTGTTTAATCATGTTAAGCTTTTTGTTCTGAAAAGTGCTGCAAAAATAGTATATATATTTTTTATTATAACATACAGTGTTATTACTGGGCTCCACAAACTCGATTAATGAAATAAATCAGTGATTCTGAACCTATGGATTAATAGGCTCCTACGAGCCCAGATGTATGGAACAGATGTGTTTTGATTCATTGGCCCAATGACAGTCTAATTGGGTGGGTAGAGAGACATTATTTGCTAAGAGCTGAGGAGATTACATCTACATACAACCAGACAGCCAGGACCAACAAACAAGTGTTGGGATAAATGAGAACAAATGAAAGATATTGTTTTTTAAATGAATATTGTGATGAGTGGAGTTCTTGAATAAAATGTGGCTTATGTCCTCTGTGCCTGCACATCCTCATCACTCAACCATGAAACGTATAAAATCTGACGTGATGCAAAGAGCAACATAAACATTCATTTACAAAATCAAGTCATAACCTCAACACTGAACAATAAAAAACTAGATTAGCTTGCATCCTTGTTTCCTTTATTTTTTTTAAACAAAAATCTCACTGAGCCATTTACAGTATATATTCAAAGTTTATTGCTGTTTCCATAATATGGTTTTAATCTTATTTTAGAGCATGACAGCATTTGGACAGGCACAGCCCCTGAGGGCTTACACTTCATGATGCACAGGGAGCTCTACAGACAGCAGATGGACCTTTCAGCACCTCCAACTTGAACTCTAACAATTTACTGGATAAAAAGGACGAAGGGAAGTTCAGTCTACTGAACAACACGAAACTCTTGAGTTCTACTGTAGGGTTGAGGCTGGAACTGTTTCTGTTTCATTTGCTGTTGATATAGATACCATGTTGTAATATTGTGTCATCCAGCTTTTTATTTGGCCTTAACACAGTGAGGATGTATGAAATCTGATGCCACAGCAGCTGCTGTATATGCATGTGACATGCTGTATATGTGGGTGCGTGACAGTAGGTGCCTCATTATCTGTCCATCTTGTCCAGAGGCTCTTGAAGGTTACACAACATTTCTGTAATTCTAGATGAGACATGGAGAGTGATTTCTCCTGGGTCAGCATCCACTGTGAGCTCCTCATGGGCACTGACACACACAGACACACGCACACGGACATACATAGCATGTCCAAACGGATAAAGCAATAGATTTACTTCCATGCATATTGGTACACGGACTCAGATGGGCAGTCACAAGTGCTCATCGCTCAAACACGGACTCACACATGCACACACATCTGGAAACTCACATACATGCTCAAATGTAGATGAGACACATGGAAATAAATAGAGCACTGCTTACTCACGTCTGATGACAGCATCTTTGGTGTTCTAGTATTCCCACACACACACACACACACACACACACACACACACTGGGAGTTCATCATATTTTTAAATCATTTTTTAAATCACTTTATATAAATGTGAATAGGGAATGAGGGGAAATGGATGGTGTGATAAATAAGATCTCATGAACCGTGCCTCCCAAATGGTTCATTCAAAGTACAGCCACAGGGCACAATTAAATGATATGAATCATCATTGAGAGCTGTCAAGGCTCTTGATTGCTGCCTGAAATACTAACATGTTGAATTAGATAAAGTATTTGGGAGAAGTTAAACCAATCAAGAAAATCAAGTTGACATTTGATTTTAATTCTAGGAAGAATATTCAACTCAGAGCAGTTTTCAATGGTTCCTCATATTCTCATAAGGCTGCTCTACCAGGTTTTAAGAAGCTGATATAATTCT